CCTTGCTCATCTTTTACATATAACTGCATGGCTTAACATTGCCATGTTTCCTAGCTCATCTCCTTTCCCTCTATTGATTTGTTAGACCTTGAGATCCTGCCTTCCCTTTCCTTGTTCGCTTGCTTTTTAAATAAGTAGAGAAAAATTAAAATCAAAATAACCTTTTAAAGATGTTTTGGTTATCAAAGTGTAATCTTACTACAGATGCTAACTGTATGAACAGTGCCACCCAAGCCTAATTACCATCTTAGAGAGAGCTCCTCTTGTGGCTCCTGTCGGTCTGCAGTGTGGTATTTGGGTAGAAGTCCTTGGGCTCTCTCAGGCATGAGGTGGGGAGCCGAGATCCCCATTTCAGCCAGGAGGGAAGAGCTGCTAATGGCATGCAGTACCTGGGATCGAACTCGGGACCTTGCACTTGCCAGGCAGGCACTTATGCTGCGGAGCTATCTCTCCAGCCCAATTCATGCTTCCACCCGCACACTGGAGGCTTGGAAGATGCCATTTCAGGTGAGCCGCTCTGTTGCTGCCCATCTTGTCAGGAGCGACTGCTCGGAAGTACAGACTCCTGCCAAGGGGCTCTAGTGACCCTCTGGGGAAGCCAAGGCCCAAGGACAGCGGTGATGAACCTATGGCATGTGCCTCAATTGGCTGTTTGTAATTACTGAAAGCTGTTAAAGGTTCGCTATTATCGCCTCAGACCTCACACCCAGTCCTGGTAAAGGAAGAGGGCGGTGAAGGAGGGACTCCACATCCTAGTGATCTTTTGCTTTCACTTTTCTGTCCTTGGGGAATGGTGAAGGGAGGCATGGGCTCGCCTGTCCCTTCTCCCTCCCCAAGGTGAGGGCAGGAGCAGCTGCCACTGTGCTCTAGGATGAGGAGTGCCAAGGAGCCCTGTTGCTCCCCTCCCCCTCCTCTCTCCTTCTTCCCCGCTTTACTTCTTTTCTTTCTTTTTTGTGGGACTGCAGATCAAGCCCACAGGTGCTCTAACATTGAGCTACAGCCCAGCCTCTTTTGAGTTTTTCTTCTGAGACAGGATCTTTCTTAGCTTCCCAGACCTACCTTGAATCTATGATCCTCCTGCCTCAGTTCCCAATCCCAAGTGTGTGCATGCAGTGGGCCAGCATGGTGCTGGGTCCAGGTTTGTGTCATTGGCAACTCACTCCAGCCTGTGGAGCCATGATGAGGGACTTCTTGCCTGGAAGTCACAGCCCCCTTCTGCAGAGCTGGGAGGTGCGCAGGCTCTACAGAGCAGACAAGCCCCATCTGCTGTGTACTATGACGTGTGCGAGGCCCCCTGGCCTGGCATCCTGTCTGTGACATGGGTGTGGATGTGCCTTCTGTGACTTGGCAAGGACTCTAAGCACCCAGCACAAAATGACAGGGATCAAGGTCCCTGTTCTTTCAGAGCCTGTGACCTGTCACTGGGCTGTCTTGCTCCTCCCCTTCCCAGGAAGGGAAGGCGACACTTTCTACCTGTCCTTGTGAAGAACTGTAACAGGGGGCCCTCAGGTACACCCCTCCATCCAGCCATCCACAAAGGTTTCATGGGCACTTAAATCTGAGCCAGGAGTGCTGTGGGTGCTGGGTACAAAGCAGTAAACAAAGTCTCACAGAAACCTTTGCCTTCCATGGGGTTGGTAGAGAAAGACAGAAATAGTTGCGGTGCATGGAAAGTACTAGTGGGCAACCTGCGGTGGAGGAAACATGGGAGTTGTGGATGGGAGGACCATACCTTTGGTCAAGGTCCTTCCTGGCTTCACCGAAGTTAAATGACCAGGCCTGGGGTTGGTCTCCATTCAGAGGAGGGTGCTGGTGTTCCAGACAGAAGTCCAGAGGCTGGAGATGCCTCACCTGTGTAAGGAGCACTCATGGTGCAGGATTGGGTGAGCAGAGTGACCCAGGGAGCAGGTAGAGTTGAGAGTCACAGCAGTCAGAGGCTGATCATGGGGCGGGGGAGGGGGGGTTGCTCAGGAGACCTGGCCATCTGCCCTGTGTGCTCTGCAAAGCTACTGGAGGTTGTCCACAGGGCTGGCTTGGATGCAGCTACTGGGTACAGCGCAGCCTTTGCAGGACCTGGGGGAGGGGTGCAGATATGGAAACCCTCATCAGAGGTTATTGCAAGATCAGGATCCAGGCAAGGCACAGGGCCTGAAGGTGATGTGGTCACAGAGGGCGAGATCAATGCCCTTGAAGTAGGCGTGGCCAGTGTGTTTGGGTGGGTGTGGTCAGTGGCCTTGAAGTGGATGTGGCCAATGTTTGGGGTGGGCATGGCCAGTGTGGTTGGGGTGGGCATGGTTGGTGCCATTGGAGTGGCTGTGGACAAGGCCAGAGTTGCAGATGGTCCTTGCTAGTTTCTAGGGTTATTTATTTATTTATTTATTTTGGCTGAACCAGGGATTGAACTCAGACCCTTGCACTTGCCAGGGAAGCACTTATTCTACTGAGCCATCTCTCCAGCCCCTCTAGGGTTCTTTAGCCCTTCTGTCTCCAGGTATTAATCTTCTGAGCTTGGAGTACTCACTGAAGCATACCATAACCTTTCTCATGGCCAAGCCCAACTGAAATATAACAGCATGATAGCTAAACTTATTTTATTTTTTGATAGCTAAACTCATAAGCTTGGACATCATCAGGCTGATTTTTTAGTATTCTGTCTCCCCTCTTACTTGCTGGGGACTCTGGCTGAGGTACTGAATCTGGTGAGCTCTTTTCATCTGTGGAATGGGAGTTGTGTCAATTTCCATTTCATCTGTAAGGTAGACTTGGACAACTGGCACGGATTGCACAGGGTAATGTGCGTGTAATAGCATGGTGCTGGGCACACAGTGAACCCACAAGCAACGGTAGCTGTAGCCTCGGCATAGACGGGAGTAGCTCCTCTACGTCCCCCAAATATATAATGTTTTGGGGTCAATCAAAACCTCTCTACAGCTTTTATAGACACAGAGACACAGGAGCTGGTGGAGACCTCCAGAGGGAGGCAGGCATGTGCAACACAGGCATGGGTGGAGAAGGGAGGGAGGCTGCTGTGGTGCCCACAGCTGACCCTGGCATCAAAGAGAGCCGGCCTCTTGGGGATAAAGCAGGGCACAGCCTCGGTGCCACTTGCCTTCAACCAGAAGGAGGAGGCCTGGAAGATTCTGCCCTGCCCTGGCTGTGCACTCCTTGCTTGTCGCCTTGTTGGCCCAGGGGGAAATGGCAGAGCTGCAAGGCAGGGCAGGGCTTCCTGGCAGTGCTCGAAAGAGGGCTCCAGGAAGACAGTCTGTCTTCACCGGGGAGAGACCTGTGGTCACGCCCCTGGCAAAGCCAGCTCTTCCTTCTTGCTCTCGCTACGTCTGTTCTTAGCTTACCTGCTTTTACTTGACTTTGCTTGCTTTGCGGTTTCTGCATGCTGTACGGATTCCAACACACACACACACACACACACACGCACGCGTGCACATGCACATGCGCACGGGCACACACACATGCACGTGCCCTGTGATCTTTGCAGCTACTGATGACTTCATAGGCTAAAAATGCTTACCTGGACAGGGGTATTAGGAAGCACCTTCAAGAGAGAGATTCTGTCTGCCTGGCCCTTGGCTCTGACAGCCGTGCTCGGGGGCCCTCCTGGGCAGCGGGGCTCCGCAGCAGCCAGGCGCTCAGGAAGAGACAGGAGCACAGCTCTCAGCTGGGGTCGGCAGGGCGGAAGTCCTGGCAACCTTTCAAGAGTAGCTTAGCAGTTTATGTCCAAAAGCCTTAAAAATATGCAAACTTGCCCCAGCAATTCTTACATTTAACAACGCAGCCAGATGGTTTCAAAACGTGTTATTTAACAACATGTTAAAGGAAACATATTACTTAACAATAATGAAAAACTGTAGTTTCCAACAGTAGGGATTAGTTAATTAAAATATGGTCCACCCATGCAGCAGAATAGAATGTACTGATAAAAAAAGAATCTAGTTGTGGAAGATTCCATAACTTGGGAAGAATATTTACAGCAGAGTCGTCAGGTGAAAGAAAAACACGAAATTCTACAAAGCATGGGTATACGCTAAGTCCCATTAAAAAAAAAAAAAAAAGCAAAAAAAAAAAAAGCCTGAAGATGTGGCTTGATGCTTCATCTCTGGGTTTTATTATAGTACTGCTAAAAACAAACACCCTTCTTCCCCCCCCCCAATAAAAGAAGCAAAAAACTCCCGCAAACCATATTTAATTTGGTTTATAAACAAATACTAGCTGTGTGAGTTCATCTAAGTTGCTAAAGTGCGCTGCACTCAGTGTACTCTTTCGTAAAGCAGAAACGAAGGCAGGAATCGCGGCGCCCTCGGACGCTGGTGTAGGATTAAAGGCGCGCGTGAGTGCGTGTAAGAGTTCTTAGAGGAGTGCGCCTTCCTCGGAACTCACTTTGTACGTTTCGGCTATTACTATTTTCCAATTTTGCTTTGGTGAATGTTTAACGCTTTTACACTCAGAAACACAACACAATAGTTTGTTTTAAACAAAGAAAAGGGGTTAGGTTTTTGGAAGAAGTTCAGAATAGAAAGACAAAAGGAAGTATCACTCCGCAGCTATCCATGGTCTACTCCGGAGTCAATCCTCAGGGCAGATATTGGATGGTTTTCCTTGTTATTCACAGACCCGACTCACTTGTGTCTAAATTAGAAAACTAGGATGAAGAAATAACTTTTAATGGGACTCTGTAGATGGACGCCAGCTGTCTTTGAGATGTGGGAGGTTCTCTTGTCTGCTGGTTGGCCTGCATGGGACAGTGGGGCGGGACCTGGTTCAAGTGGGCGGGGTCTTGGGTCATGTGGGCTGGGTCATGGTTCAGTGTGGGACAGCATTATCATGGGAGACCCAAGGAAGAGTCTCCACTGAATCCTGACCCCTTTCCCTGCAGAGTTTCGTTTTGTCTCCTGAGCCAGGTGTCTCCGTGGTCAGTCTCTTGGTCTGTCTACAGGCCAGGCTCCTGGGATGATCAGGACAGGTGCCACAGTTGTTAACAGCCCTTGTGTGCTGCCCTAGGTAAGAAGGACATCTGCCACGAACTCGTCATTTAATCTTTGAGGTCGGCAGGCAGCAGTGTCCATTTCATCCGTCCTTTGATGGACTTGGGCACAGAAAGCCAGGTCACCTGAGGTGGGGACAGAGCTCACAAGCTGCTTGCCTGGGTTTTGAATGCAAAGCCGCGTGATGCGACGCCAGTTAAACGGCATTCTGAAATCAGCCAGGCCAGGCCTCTTCCCAGCCCCTCATGCCTCCTTCTGTCTTATGCTGAGCCCTGATCCCTGTCCTCTTACCCTTCACCCTCCTCCCACCCAGGAGAAGTCACCTGGGTAACTGCATCATCATGTTCTACATAGGGAAGCAGGAAATGCTTCCTCTTTTTAAGCATATGAATTATATATGTAATATATATATATTTATTGGCAAATAAAATTGTCTATGTTCCTCATCTAGGAAATGTTTTGAAATAAATGTACACTGTGGGGAGGTCAGCTAAGCTTATTCACACACATTTATTGACCAACACGGAGAGACTTTCCAACGCTTTCCAGGGTCATCAGTTTCCTGAGTTATGTACCTGACTCTGAGGACCTCAGAGCTCTGACAACCTCATGCCAACGTTTACTGAGACACACTCGTTAAAGATTTTTGAAAAAAATTTAAATTACAGTTAAATGCACATGACCTAAATTTGCCATCTTAACTGTTTTCAGTGTACTGTTTGGTCATGTTAGGTACAGCCGTATTGTAGCATGCCCAATCTCCAGAATGCTTTTCAGTCTTTACCATTCAGGAGCAACTCCTCATGCTTCCCTCCACCAGCCCCTGGCAACCGTCCTTTCACTTTCTGGCTAAGAAGAATCATACAGAAGATGTTTGTCCTTTTGTGTGGCAGCATATGTCACCTAGCACATTGCCCGAAGGTTCATCTGTTTGGCAGGTGTCAGGAGTCTGTTCACTTTCAAGGTTCAATAATATTCTCTCTTGTGTGTGTGTATTGGTCACATTTTCCTTATCCATTTGCCCATCCATGGACCTGTGGGTTGCTTCCACTTCTGGAAGCTATTGTGAGTAATGATGCCATGAATGTAAATGCCTTGGTGTGTCATGGGACTGCAATAACTGAATACCATGGACAGGATGGCTTACAAATGACTACAGCTTATATCTCACTGTTCTGGAGGCTAAAAGCCAAATATCAGCAGATTCGGTGTCTGGAGTGAGGCCCCAGTTTTTCCATGTGAGGGCAGAGGAGCTCTCTGGGATCTCTTGAAAGGGCACTAATCTCACTCATGGGGGCCCTGCCCTTGTGACCTAGTCACCTCTCAAAATTCCACTTTCTGAACATCACTAACCTGGAGATTAGGTTCAAGGTAAGAACCTTGGGGGACTTGAGCTTTCAGTATACAGGTATGTTTTTAAGTCATTGTGAAACAGTTCCTTGGAATTGGAACTGCTGGGTCACATGGTGATTCTGTTTAATGTTTCAAGGAGCTGACAGACTGTTTCTGTTGCCACCGATAGTTCTGGTTTCACTGTGGAGGTCCCTCTCCCCAGCAGCCACACTAACCCATCTCTTTCTCTTGGAGCGCAGGCCAGTCCATCGTGGGCTGCAAAGCCATCCTCATTGATGACCAGGTCTTTGTGGTGGTGGCCCAGCTCTTCGGCGGCTCTCACATTTACAAATACGATGAGAGCTGGACCAAGTTTGTCAAATTCCAGGACATCGAAGTGTCTCGCATCTCCAAGCCCAATGACATTGAGCTGTTTCAGATCGATGATGAGACGTTCTTCATCATTGCAGACAGCTCTAAAGCAGGGCTGTCAACAGTCTACAAATGGAACAGCAAAGGCTTCTACTCGTACCAGTCCCTGCACGAGTGGTTCCGAGACACAGACGCGGAGTTTGTTGATATTGATGGGAAATCGCACCTCATCTTGTCCAGCCGCTCCCAGGTACCCATCATCCTCCAGTGGAATAAGAGCTCCAAGAAGTTCGTCCCCCATGGTGACATCCCCAACATGGAGGACGTGCTGGCTGTGAAGAGCTTCCGCATGCAGAACACCCTGTACCTGTCACTCACCCGATTCATCGGGGACTCTCGAGTCATGAGGTGGAACAATAAGCAGTTCGTGGAGGTCCAGGCGCTGCCATCCCGGGGTGCCATGACTCTGCAGCCATTTTCTTTTAAAGATAATCACTACCTGGCCCTGGGGAGTGATTACACATTCTCGCAGATATACCAGTGGGATAAAGAGAAGCAGTTGTTCAAAAAGTTCAAGGAGATCTATGTGCAGGCCCCGCGTTCCTTCACAGCCGTCTCCACCGACAGGAGAGATTTCTTTTTTGCATCCAGTTTCAAAGGGAAAACAAAGATTTTTGAACACATCATTGTTGACTTAAGTTTGTGAATGTGTAATGGGTGACATTTAAAAACTCCATGTAGCATTAGCTCTCCCGAGAGAGGACCGAGAAGAAATAAAATAATAAAATAACATGAGCCAGGCTCAGAGCTCTGAAATTTAACTTTAAAATGCACTGAGGAAATAGTTAGATGTTTTCAAACTTTTAGGACTCACATTTTAATCAGGGGTTGCTTTTATTGGCTAACTGCATGCCACACCCATTCCATCATTTAAAAAGGCACCTGGTTGCCTGTGATTTCCAAGAGAAGAGGGCAGCGTTTACTCTGACCATCTAGAAAGTTCTGTGCTTTTTCTTTCTTTTTAATGAGGAAGGAGAAAAATGGATAAGATGGGATAACTCTTTTAATGAAATAATAATACACACATAAATAAATAAACCAAACCTATGGCCCCTCCTCATTCCATTTTAGCAATCTTTTGGGTAAGAACCGTTAAAGTCAGCTGAAAATATTTGCTGATGAGTAGTTTAAAAATCTCAGAGCACTCAGCGGTGCTATTCTGAGCCATCCTGATTCCTGAAAGTAAAACCCAACATTCCAGAACATTCCGTAATACCAGAGTCTTCCCTCTTTGGTTAGCTCATGTGGATAAATCATGGGTGTGTTAACGGCTTAATCTTTGACATTGCTTTCTCTTCCACAAAGAAAACACTCTGGCGACACATGTCTAGGCCAGCATGGGCTCTGGGCCCGGCAGGGAGACAAAAGAATGTTTCCCTCTCTGTGCGCTTCAAAGCTGGCCCTCGAGGTGGCCTGAGCCATCGTGCCTGTTTGATGCACTCTGTGACTCATCTGCCTCCCCGAACCTATCCTTTGAGTTTGTAGGTAACCAGCAGACAGGCCAAAGACTGACGGTGCTTTTCATTCTGTCCTTCAGAGGGGTGGAACAGGTATTTCCATCTGATGTGCATTTGGTAGGATTTTTTCAAGTGAAATTTCACAGAGTCAAAAGGAACTTTACTTATACAGATCACAATGTGCTTTAAAACCCAGAGGTGGCCCTTTGATTTATGCATGTCTTTGCCCTCTGGACAACTCAACATTTCAAGTAATTGAATGGCACTCATGCTAAGCCTGCCCACCTCTCTGTCTCCCCCCTCCCAGGGCAGTCCTGCTTCACTGAGTGGTTGGTGTTGCTGAGGTAGCACGGAAGGTGCTGTGCACACCAAATCCCAAACCCGACTTCTCACAGTGGGGGCACAGCTTCCTCTTCTGGTATCCTAGCACCAGGGGTTCCCACCACCTGCCCCACGACCACGTATTGGTGGCCGGGCACCCCATAGAGACCGGGGCTTTCAGCTGATGGCTGGAGCCAAGGGAGTTGAGTCCCAGACAGTGTCTGTGCTCAGTGGGCCAGGTGTGCTAGTTCAAACTTAGCCTCTGGGGCTGACAGTGAGGAAGCCCACCGGCTCTGGTTCTGCAGAAGGTTCCTAGTAGATGTTCTGCCTACATGGCTGGTTGTTTTCAGGGCACATGAAGTAAATGTTCTGGGGGCAGCTCTTTCAGGAGTGACCCTGCAAATTTCTTCTTGCCGTGAAAGTGGCACCATCACACTGTGTGTACTGTAGTTATTTGTTTTGATGATTATTGGCCGCATCGTAAGTAGGTAGCTGTTTTGCCATAAGTGTGAATGTGTTTGTTGTTTCCTGACTTTAAACAACGCAGAGCAAGCAATAAAGCAAGCACTCTGAGAACCACGTGTTGGTGTCCCGTCAGCGCTCTGGGTACTTTCTGGTACCTCGGGCGGAGGCTTCCACACTGGGAAATTACTGAGCTCGCTTACCCACACTCAGTTGGGTGGTTGCTTACAACTTTTCCACAAAATACCAAACAAAACAAAGTTTGTTTTCATTTTTTTAATGCACAAACTCTTTCTTTGCTTCCTTTTGCTTTCTGGGTTTACTTGAATTGCTGATAAACACTCACATATTCACATTGGAGGCTGAAAGCTGGATATCTCTGCCCTCCCTCCAGCTGTAGAGGCTGGAACTCTATTCTTCCTGGTGCTTGGGACCCTTAGACAGGATGGATGGCCAAACAGAAAATTGGCAAGCAGGAAAGGGAACCTTAAAACAGTTCTAGCTCTTGCACGAGGTTAAAATGATGCTCCTGATTCTAGCTGCTTATGGGATAGGCAGTGGGGGTGTCCCACACTACTGCTTCTGTGAAGCAATGCTCCAGCTTCTCAGTGGTGTGCAAAGGGGGAAGTTGGGGCTGGCCATCTGCACTCTCCATGCTGTAACCATTGCTTAGAATCTGGAGAACCAGGAAGAATAGGATTCTTGCCTTGGGTCGGGGGCTTTGTCGGGTCCAGAAGTGGCAGTGGGGTTAGCACAGGAGGAGGGGGTAATACACTCGACACCATTAGATTTTCTTTCTGTTTTAAAAGAAGTTCACGCAAGGCTGAAGTCTACAGTTTGTAGAGGCTGGGAAGAGGTGTTTGTTCTGTCCAACTTAGCAAAGCAATGTAGATGCTCTTGGCACAAGGAGGCGGGAGCTTCGCTTCATTAATCTTACTGCCCCATCCTGAGGCTCCCTAAAGTCTTCAGCAGCTTCTGCAAGAAGCTCTCTCCCAGTAATAGGGGAACACAAACCCCAGCTGAACAATGATGAGAACAGAAAGCAGAGAAGCATGTGGATAGGTGCCCTTGGAGATCGGTGGGAGGGCCGCCTTGCTCCTTCCTGCCCCCCACTGCAGGACACTGCTCAGCCTGTCCTTGAGGAGGCTCCTGGTCTCTGCCCTCCACATAGCCCTGAGCTTGAAGACCACTGCCCGGAAGCCAGTATCTGTCTCCGTCTCCATAGGCTTAGGAGCACGTCCTCTCACAGGGCTAAGTCAGCTTAGAGGGAAGAGCACTGTGCACCGGGCAGGGATGGGATCACCTTGCGTTTCTGCAGAGCCAGCCACCTTCCCACATTCCCTTGCACTCAGCTCATTTGTCATAAGCAGTTCTTCAGTGTACTGGAGGAAGAGTTGTTCTAATTTTAAGGAGGAGGGGAAGCGCGGACTCTAAATGGATCACCTGCCTCTGGTTACCTAGTCACATGTGGCAGAGTTGGGTCTCCCCTCTGAACAGCAAGCAGGTTTTGGGCTTTTCTTCCATGACACTGCTGTCCACTCCTAAGGAAAGATTTTCCTTGTCATTTTACTTTACAGCATACCTGTGCCTTGAGATAAAAAAAAAAAAAATGCAACAAAATATGTATAGCCAGAAGGCAACCAGCCGAATAGAGGCTGCTCCTCAATTGTTCCATTCAATGATGAACAAACCTCTGGGACTGGTGTGACACTCGAAACTCTTCCAAGAATTTCACAAAGTTCTTTATTCTGAGCGGATTTCTAGCTTGTGTTGTCCACCCTCCTCCCACGTAGCTGCGGGATGCGTGGACGGATGCTAGGGTCTGCATCTATCTGCTGCTTGTCACAGTGTCCACTAGATAAACAAGAAGAATTTGGTGAGAAAGAAATTAAAATCCAAATGTACAAGTGATGATGAATTGATCCAGGCCACAGCGGCCTATAGGGAGCACGTGGCTCAGGACAATGTTGCATTTTTCTTCTCCATGGAGTGAGAGGCTGGGTATTTTTAGCAAGGAAATCAGTGTGGGATGCTGGAGGGTTGGCTGCCAGGAGCAGGCATGATGGAAAGTTCTCTGGCCTGGGGTGTCATGAAAGAGAGCAGAAAGGCTGAACATGTGTATCCTTCTGCTTGCCACTTACAGAAAATGTCCCTAGTAGTTTGCTTGATTCTTTTGCAGAGGGGCCAGCCCCTCTCTTGCAGATTTGAGGCAAAAAGTCCCTCAATTAGTGGCCATTGATTCCATTCCACCATTCACAGAAATGGAGTGCAGCTGTCTAGCTGCAATGAGAAAGGTGGACCGGAGTCGTGGCCCCACAGAAAGAGAAAGGGCAGAAATGCAGTCAGATGGCTGGGACAGAAGCTGTTGGGGGAACGCAGAGATCAACCTGGAGGCAGAGAAAAAGCGAGCAGGATTTTCTCTGCTACAGCCAGGTGAGCAGAATGCAGGATGACCAGGCAAATTAGAAACACCTCAATGATTACTAGAAATAGCCCATTGTGAGGATTATTCAAATAAGAATTCCATTTTGAGGCTGCTGAGCTGAGAATTGAGGCCCTCTTCCTACTGTATTCCATTGCTTATATCAGAAGCCTCCTTTTCTTAGTAGAAAACTATGCATTCCCTACCCATCCCTTTGACTATCAGGAATGTATAAGAACTGTGGGGTCGAGGACATAGGGGGTGTAGCTCAGTGGCACAAGCGCCTGCCTGGCAAGCATAAGGTCCTGAATTCAATCCCTCTTACAAAAAAAAGAAAACTGTGACAAAACGGGCCAATATGCCACTTGGTACTGTTTTTATGTATCTTAAATGCATAACTTAGGTAAAATAAGAATAATTATATATGTATTAAAATAAGTTTTATAGTAAGTAGGCAACCATGGATGCATTTAAGGCTTTATATGTATATTGAGCTCTTCTTGGTAAATAGAGTTAACATGATATGCTTCTCAATTCCATTTGTTCTGTAAGCCTGTGAATAAAAAGTAATTCATGTCTCACATCGCATTGCTCTCTGGTCTGCTTGAATACATGCATGTTCACTTGGGTTGTAGAGGTGGAGCGACACCCATTAGGAGTGCTGGGGCAGTACTTTTGTGGCTCACACTTGCTCAGATGGGAGCTGGATACCAAGGGGCCTTTGGCTCCTTCACTTAGAGACCAGACAGTCATGGAAGAACTTCACACACTCCTCTCCTGATCTGGGGCTCCTAGTGTTGATGGGCTGACAATGAACTTAGGATCTTTGGGTGTTGACTCGGCCTGTGAGTCGAGACGTGGGGTAACGACCTGGAGGAGGAACAAGGATGAAGAAGACAGGGCAAGAGACACAAGAGACGGAGACAAGACAGGCTTTCTGATCAAGTCTCGTTTATTGAGGAAGTGAGCAGGGTCTAAATAGCTGTATAGTGGAAGCAGTTGGGTGGGACTAGTTGTGGATCGGTAGTGGAGGTCCAGGACCACAGCAAGATGTCGAGGCAAGTGGGGATTGGTGCTGTAGCACT